TGTAGAGGGTCTTCACTTCCCCGGCGACATCTTGATGGGTATGGACCTGTTACACCGCTTCCCTGTCCGCATGGCCCTTGAAGGTCTCTCTGCCAAGAACTACATGGATTTAGATGGCTGCCGTCACCGAATATCGTTCACCAGAGGGGGCACAACTGGTTATCACGTGCCTGCTTGCCATGATGCCGCTGATGAGACCCCTGAAGCAGTGGAGGTCCCTGAGCTGTTGCAGTCCCCTTCACCGGTAGCTGTCTCACCTGTCCACGTAGCTGAGGAAACTGTGGCAGAGGCTAGGTCTGGCAAGTTTGTGGCTGCTACTGTGACCCACAGCTCTCCTGATGACACGCCTGGCCATTGTCGCCAGACAATGTCCCCACACCCTTGTGACTGTCCACGATCGCCGTTCCAGTGTGTGGGTTGTTAACCTGCACCCGAAGCCACGGAAGGTTTGCCCAAGTACTGTGCTGGGGTATGCTTCTTTCCTGGAAACAGAGGAGGTGGTATGCACAGTCCCAGCCTCTGCGATGACACCCCAGACAGCAAGCCGCCTGCAGAACATTTCAGACCTGGAGCAGGAATAGTTCTCAGAAGAGGATGAGTTTCTGCACTATGGTGAGTGTCAGGATGACTACCACAGCACTGCATGTCTGGACTTTGGGTACGAGGACGAGGACTCTGTGTTTCCAGACACACCTGCCTTGGATGAAGATTGTCATCATGAAGAGTTGGAGGCTGCCTGTGCTGCTGTAGACTAAGGTACTGGTGGCACTGAGGCATCTGACAGCAGACCAGGAGGGCCAGCTGCATGAAGTGCTAGACCGTTTCCCAACTCTGTTCTCGGGAGACAAGCTGGCAGTAGGGCATGTTCCAGGAGTGTAGCATCGCATTGTCACCACGACAGATACACCAGCTTGTGTGCGACAGTGGAGGCTTCCACAGGGGATGAAGGAAGTGATACGCATAGAGTGGGACCGTATGCTGGCCCAGGGTGTTATTGAACCATTCTCAAGCCCATGGCTGTCACCAGTAGTACTCGCCAAGAAAAGGGATGGAACTCACCGATTCTGCGTCGACTACCGGGGCCTGATTCAGGTGACAACCCCAGACACTTACCCTCTTCCCCGCATTGACGAGATGCTGGACTATCTGATAGGTTGCACCTGGTTCACTGTTCTCGACAGCCGGTCAGCCTACTGGGTCATCTCTGTGCACCCTGACAACCGCCTAAAGACTGCATTTAGTGACGGCCATCGACTGTTGCAGTTTCGCAGGCTTCCCTTTGGCCTCTCAACTGCACCAACGATGCTCCAGAGGACCATGAATGTTGTCTTGGCTTCTGTTTTGGGATGTCACAACTTTGCATATCTGGATGATGTGGTGGTTGCATCGGCAAGCTTCAGCGAACACCTGCAGCATCTCCAGGTGACTTTAGCCCTTCTGCACGACGCGGGGATGAAGTTAAACCTGGTGAAGTGTGAGCTTGCCAAGCACCAGGCTTCATTGTTGGTCCTGAGGGTGTGAATCCCAACCCAGACAAGACTGCTGCCATTGCAGAGATGAAATGACCTCGCCCGGTGCAGGATGTCCGCCACTTCCTGGGTGCTTGTGGTTTCTTTGGTTGCCACATCCAGGGGTTCACAGCGATGGCTGACAGCCCTTACCAAGAAAGGGGTGAAGTTTGAGTGGGGAGACGCTGCTCTGCTAGCCTTCACCTCTTTGAAGGACACCTTGTTAATGAACCCTGTGCTTTGCCTGCCGAACTTCAGACAGCTCTTCGAGGTGCACTGCGACGCCAGCACACAGGCTTTAGGTGGGGCCCTTCTTCAGCGTGATGCAGAGGGTGTGCCTCATGCTGTCGCCTATTGGTCCCGCACCCTGAAGGACACTGAGACCCGATATGCTGTCATCGACCTGGAGGCACTTGCTGTGGTGGAAGCTGTCCGAGCCTTCGACCCATACAAGCCCGACGGTTTGAAGTTTGGACCGATCAGCCCCTGGATGAGGTATTTTCCCGGCGTACGAAGAGCACCCGTCTGAGTCGGTATGCCTACGACTTTGTGCTCAAGTACAAGATAGGGGCTAGCAACCACATGCCAGATCTCCTTTTGTGACCTGCAGGTGAAGCATCCCCGCCTGCAGAGAAAGCTTGCCCACTAGAGCAAGTCCAAGAGGCACGTAAGTTTTGAGGTGGAGGAGGGCATCCTGTACTACCTGCGGACTTTCCCAGACCAGGTACTAAGGCTGGTTTATGTCCCCAACCATCTTCAGCCACAGGCCCTGCGACATGCACACTGCCCACCGACTGCGATCCATCCCGGATTCCACCATATGTTCCAGAACCTGCAAGGTGCCTGGTACTTCCCCATTATGCACCACCTGGCGAGGGAGTACGTGGCTAGGTGCCATGCTTGTCAGCAGCGCAAGGGAATGGCAGGTCGAGCTCCAATGGAAGGACATCCTTTACGAGAGGCTCCACTGTTGAGGGTCTCAGTCGATCTTA